ATTACAAGGCGAACTGCCAACTCTTGAGCCACGATCGCCCCTAGTAATCATATTACAGTTACTAATTTGAAAAAAATACATTACTTACTTTTGTTGCCCAAGTTCAAAATCCACTTCATATCCACACTTGTGCAACAATATCTTGAACAGATTCCTTGGAGCCCAAAATGGCTGAGTTTGATGGAGGGAGATATGCACATTGCTCTTTATAATTTATTGCTTGAAAGGACAAGATGTAAACTGTGCCCTGGTCAGAAGCAACTCCCCACTGCTGCAAACACGACTTCTGATCTCTCCAAGCACTTACACTAACACTAAGCTGGTATCAAAGAGTCCCACAGCAGGAGCGAGAGTGACACTCAGACTGTGTATGGTGACCCCAAGCAAGCAACCAAAGCTTGTTTTCAGCAGGTAACCAAAGCAGAGATGAACAGGCCGGTGGCATCATACATAGTGGAGGAAATATTTTATGATGGGATGGCCATCTTTCAGAAAGCTATTTAGCAAATGACCAAAAACAGGAAAAAGATCAGTCTCAGACAGGAAAAGTTTCTCCAGATGTATCGACTAGCAATGGAAACTGAGTTAAAGAAAACATTTCAGAGCTCTGCATGTTTGTCTACGACTGTTGACATTTGGACTTGCCACAATAAAAGCTTCCTGTGACTGGATTAACACGAATAACTTTCACTATGACAAAGCTGCAACTGTCTGCAAGCAACTGAAAGAACAACACACATACGATGTTGTAGCTAGTGAAATTGAACTGATTCATTCAGTTTATGGATTGTCACGCAAAGACACGGCAACTGTCACTGACAATGGAATAAATTTTTTGAAGGCTTTCAAGATGTATGAGCCCACAGCGTCAGGTTCTGATGAAGAGGATGAAGAACAAGCTGTGACATTCACAGATGTTGGAAACGTGCGCTCCACTGACACTGACCAAGGACATTTTTCTCTCCCCCTTTACCTGAGATACACACTAAACTTAATTTCAAGTAATGATGTTGACAAATGGCTTACAGCAAACACATATCGGAGTCCATATCAGTGTACTGAAGTGCAACAGGAAAATACTCTGGCCTTTGGACTGGATAAAAACTCACTGTGCCGACAACAACGAGATGGAAATCAGATGTCATGATGCCCCATCCTATGTTACAGACATTCCCACGCAAGCTTTGAACAATCTCTGTAGCCGACTAGCCGTTGACTCCATCAATGTGTATTGGTTCTTTTACTAACATTGCTGATAAAACCACTCACTGTGGCTTTGGACGTTTTCCGAGGTGAGGATAGCTTATGGCAGCTTCCAACTCTGGAAATCTCTAAGACACTGATGCTGCAAAGTGGGCTCTAAAGATGACACCTGGTCTGCCTGAAGCCAATGTCCAGGTGTGCCTACTGTTATATGAACTATAAAAGCTATAACTGATAGGATTGTTTAACTGATTTTGCAGTTTCAGTCTAGAATTCAGAGTACTATCCCTTTATTGTATTGTTTCCTTATTGAAGGGATCATGTGTCTCAGTGATATTGCATCGGTTTTATCAGAACATGTCTCTCCTGTCTGCCTGTCGCACTTTGCACCTGTCAACTTGTTAAACATATTTTCTTTGTGTTTTCTCCCAGTACTTGTGTAAATGCTGTAAAATGTAAATATACTGCTTTAGTGAAATATGCCTATAAATAAAGAATATAAGATTGTAGGCCTGTATGCAGTCGACTTGCATCTTTGTAATTTACACTTTGAAGTTTGCATGAGTTTCCATTAAAAGTGATGTTATCACACCTCTTAGATGCAGGGTTGTTCTATAGCTATCTTATTGTACGACACACAGGTA